CCTCCCAGCGGCCCCGGACGCTCCCGCCCCTACCTCAGCGGCCACGCCGAGCCGCCCTAGCCGCCCTAGTCGCCCAGCCGCCGAGCCGCCCAGCAGCCGAGCCGCCCAGCAGCCGAGCCGCCGAGCGCCAGCCGCCGAGCCGCCCTGTCCGCAGCCGAAGCCGCCCAAGCAGCCGAGCCGCCCCGCCGCCGAGCCGCCCAGCCGCCGAGCCGCCCTGCAGCCGAGCCGCCCGAAACCTGCCCTGTCCGGTAAGAGCAGCGCCTCTCTCACAGCACTGCCCTACTGTTTGCACTGCTAGTCTACTGCTGTCATGGCTACCCCTAGTGTCCTCGCTTTTGACGCTGAGGGTCGGGCCATTGACTTTGACGTCTGGATAGATGACCTGCAGCTTTTCTTACAGTGCGACAGAGCAGACGGCTCTCCCTCTTTTGACCTCACTTCTGGTGCCTCTCCTGCCCCGCTGCTGATGCTGACGCCACCGTCCGCTCACAGTGGGCCACGCGCGATGCTGCTGCACGTCTTGCTGTGCGTCGCCACCTCCCTACCTCTGAGCGTGCGCACTTTAGCCAGTACAAGAGTGCTCAGACCTTGTACGACGCTTTGTAGTTGCACGCTACTCCTCCCCTGCCACTGCTGCACTGAGCCGCCTCATGCTACCGTACCTCTTCCCTGACCTTGCTGCCTTTCCCACAGTCGCTGACCTCATTACGCACCTCCGCTCTAGTGACACTCGCTACCGCGCTGCGCTTCCTGCTGAGTTCTGCGCCAAGAACCCCCCCCCCATGTACATCACCCTCTACTACATAGTCACCCGTCTCCCTGACTCCCTTCGCGTAGTCAGGGACCACTTCCTCTCGGTTTGTCCCACCACTCTCACCGTTGACCTCCTCGAGAAGGCCCTCCTAGCAGCAGAAAAGAGCATAGTCGCTGTAGGAGCCTCTCGTGGTGACCCTCGCACCCCCATCTTTGAGGGGTGTTCCCCCTCCCCTCTTTTGCCCTCTGTTGCCTCTGCTGATGCGGCCGACCTCGCTGGTTTGGAGTCGGTTGGGGCAGCGTCTACCCCTAGCGGGAGACGCCGCCCTTGGCAGGGGCAAGGGGGCAGGGGCGCTGGAGGAGCTAGCGAGGGCGGTGGAGGCGGCGGTGGAGGTGGTGGAGGAGGTGGGGGTGGCGGTGGGAGTGGTGGCGGGGGTGGAGGTGTAGGTGGCGGCAGTGGAGGCGCAGGAGGCAGCGGCGGTGGCGGAGGGAGCGGAGGTGGCGGCGGTGGAGGAGGAGGCGGCGGAGGAGGTGGAGCTGGTCGGGGGTGGCGCTGCGCAGAGGGTCAGCTCCGGTGGTGGTCAGCGCCAGCAGCAGCAGCAGCAGCAGCAGCAGCAGCAGCGCACTCGTGACGTCCCCTCCCCTCAGCAGCTCCGTGAGTGGTACACTGCACGCCAGAGGGGTGGGGGTGCTGGTCCGTGCACCTACGTCCTGCGCACCGGCGACCGCGCGGGTGAGCAGTGCGGGGGGTGCGCACTCCACCCAGCGCTGCTTTGGCCGCCTCACGGACGCTTGGCGTCACCAGTTCCCTGAGGCCACTGAGATCCCCCGCTGGGGTGAGCTGTCTCGGGTGGGTGTAGCTGTCTTTGACCTTGACTTTGATGCTATTCTTGCTGCCGTGTATGCTGTGACTATTAGTGATGAGGGTGACTGTTACCGGTGTTTTCCGCCCGACCCGGGCATTGAGACTGCTGCTCTAGGTGCTGGTGAGGCTGCTGCTCTAGGTGCTAGCGAGGCTGCTGCTCTAGGTGCGTCTGCTCTCTCAGGTGCTGGTGAGTCCGCTCTCTCAGGTTCTGCGTCGGCTTCGGCCTCCCACACCTTCACACTTGACTCGGGGGCTTCTCGCTCCTTCTTTCGAGACCGCACCACACTCACGCCGCTTGGCCGGCCAGTTGCGGTCTCCCTGGCAGACCCCTCTGGGGGTCCTGTCCTTGCTCACTTCTCCACTATCCTCCCGTGTCCGGCGGCCCCCTCTGGCACCCTGTCTGGTCTCTATCTCCCCTCGTTCTCTACGAACTTGGTGAGTGGTGCTGACCTACAGGATGCGGGGGTTCACCAGTTCACTCCTGCGAGTCAGCGGGTGACCCACTGCACGGACGCTCGGACAGGCCGCCACCTGGCCACGTTTACACGTCGGCCAGGGTCGAGCCTGTACACACTGACCACTGCGTCTCCTCCAGTCCCTGCGTCTGGTCAGGTAGCTGCGTCGGGTCAGGTGTTTGCTGCAGCGTCCAGGTCTGGTCCTGAGTCTGCCCCCTGCTCGTGTCGCCTCCTGTCTCACGAGACTCTCCTCTGGCACCACCGCCTTGGCCACCCCTCCCTGCTTCGTCTCCGGAGCATGGCCTCCCGTGTCCTTGTCTCTGGTCTTCCCCGGTCCCTCCCTCCCCTTCCTCCGGGGCCAGGCCCTACCTGCGTCCCCTGTGTCGAGGGACGGCAGCGGGCTACCCCTCACTCCTCCCAGTTTCCTCCGACAGAGGCCCCGCTGCAGACGCTTCACATGGACGTGTGGGGCCCGGCCCGCGTCCGTGGACAGGGTCACGAGCGCTACTTCCTGCTGGTGGTTGACGACTACTCGCGTTACACCACAGTCTTCCCCTTGCGCAGCAAGGGTGATGTCACTGAGGTGTTGATCGACTGGATCCGCGCAGCTCGTCTCCAGCTCAGGCGGAGCTTTGGCTCGGACTTTCCTGTTCTGCGTCTGCACTCTGACAGAGGCGGAGAGTTCTCCTCTGGCCTTCTGCGAGCCTACTGTCGTGCACGAGGCATCCGCCAGACCTTCACGCTTCCGGACTCTCCACAGCAAAATGGGATTGCTGAGCGCCGCATTGGCATGGTCATGGACGTCGCCCGTACGTCCATGATGCATGCGGCTGCCCCCCATTTTCTGTGGCCGTTTGCGGTTCGGTACGCGGCGCATCAGATCAACCTTCACCCCAGGGTCTCCATGCCGGAGACCTCCCCAGCTTTGCTGTGGACGGGGAAGGTTGGCGATGCGTCTGCGTTCCGTGTCTGGGGATCTCGGGCGTTTGTCCGCGACTTGTCTGCGGACAAGCTGTCCCCTCGTGCTGCTCCTTGCGTCTTCCTGGGTTTCCCCCCTGACGCCCCAGGGTGGCAGTTCTACCACCCCACCTCTCGCCGTGTTCTGTCCTCCCAGGACGTCACGTTCGATGAGTCGGTCCCCTACTACCGCCTCTTCCCCTACCGCACTCCGTCCCTCCCCCCGCCACCGCTCTTCCTTGTACCAGGTCCCCCCCCGGTAGACCCCCTCCCCCCTCAGGGTCCTGCCCCTTCAGGTGTGTCCCAGGTAGACGCTGTTGAGCCTGTCGAGGTCGCTGGTGACTCTGGTACTGCTGAGGGTGCTGAGCCTGGGGGTGCTGACTCTGGGGGTGCTGAGCGTGTGGGTGCTACGCCTGGGGGTGCTGAGCCTGGGGGTGCTGAGCCTGGGGGTGCTGAGTCTGGGGGTACTGCGACTGTGGGGTGCTGAGCCTGGGGGTACTACGCCTGGAGGTGCTGAGCCTGGGGGTGCTGCGTCTGGGGGTGCTGAGCCTGGGGGTACTACGCCTGGAGGTGCTGAGCCTGGGGGTGCTACGCCTGGTGGTGCTGTGCCTGGCGGTTCACCGGGTGCTCCCTCTCGCCGAGAGCCACTCTCTCCCCAGGAGCTGCGTGAGTGGTTTGCCCGGCGCTGGAGGCGAGCTGCTGGAGCTGCTGGAGCTGGAGGTGCTGCGGGTACTGGAGGTTCTGTTGCTTCTGAGGGAGCTGGTGCCACGGGTCCCGGAGGTGCTCGTACTGGGAGTACTGGAGCTGCTGGACCTGCGGGTACTTCTGGAGCTGGAGTTGCTGCGGGTGTTGGCGCGGAGGCTACTGCTGTCGGTCCTGGAGGCGGTCCTGCTGGGGGTACTACTGGTGCTGCTGGGGGTTCTGGAGCTGGAGCTGCTACTGGTGCTGGTGCTGCCCCTGGGGGTGCTGGTGCTGTCCCTCCTGTGTCTGGAGTCGCCGCGCGGCCTCGGCCGTACTTCGTTCCGCTCCTTCAGCAGGTTCTTGGTCTCCCGCCTTCTACTGGTCCTCCTCCTCCCTTAGAGTGTCCACAGCCTGTCCCGTCGCAGTTACAGTTACAGCCGGCCTCCCCACTGCCTGCTCCGTCTCCCTACACTGGTCCTACTGGAGGTCTTACTGAGCGTCGTGAGCCTGCGTCTCGCCCTGCGTCGCCTGTCCGTGCTGCTCGCACTAGTGGTCGCGGTTCGCGTCAGCGTCCTCCTCCTGTCCCTGGCACGCACCGGATGTCTCTGCGTCCGTCCACTGCTCCTCTGCGTGCCCCTTTGCCTTCTCCTCCTGAGTCTTCTCTTCCTACTCTTGCCGACCCGGAGTCGGACTCTCTTCGCGCTGCCAGTCCTACTGTCACGCGTCTCCTTGCTACGGTTGTCACTGACCCTTCCTTTGAGTCCACTGCTGCGTCTGCTCTAGTTGCTGAGCTCGTCGACTTTGCTGCTCGCTGTCGCCTAGACTACGTCGCCAGTCTTGTTGCTGAGTCTGAGTCTGTCTGTCCTCCGTCCGTCGGGGGTGAGTGTGCCCTTGGCACGGACGTCCTTGAGGACAGGCAGGAGGAGTTCCAGTGTTTGGCTGCTGCTTCACCTCATCTCGTGTCCGTACTGCTTACCCCTGAGGGAGACCCGGATGCACTTGACATCCCGACTCCGCGCTCTTACGCGGAGGCGATAGAGGGTCCCTACTCCTCTCAGTGGCAGGCAGCTATGGATGCAGAGATGGCTTCCTGGAAGTCCACAGGCACCTACGTTGACGCTGTTCCCCCTCCTGGGGCGAACATCGTCAGTGGCATGTGGATTTTCAGGGTGAAGCGGCCGCCGGGTTCTCCGCCTGTCTTCAAGGCGCGTTACGTGGCTCGTGGCTTCAGTCAGCGGCAGGGAGTTGACTACTTTCAGACCTTCTCTCCCACCCCGAAGATGACCACTCTTCGGGTACTGCTGCACATAGCTGCTCACCGCGACTACGAGCTGCACTCTCTTGACTTCAGCACTGCTTTCTTGCAGGGCAGCCTGCACGAGGAGATCTGGCTGCGTCGCCCACCTGGCTTCACTGGGTCTTTTCCTCCTGGCACCCAGTGGAGCCTACGGCGGCCAGTCTACGGTCTCCGCCAGGCACCGCGTGAGTGGCACGACACACTGAGGACTACACTTGCGGCTCTTGGGTTTGCTCCCTCTACTGCCGACCCGTCGCTGTTTCTGCGCACCGACACTTCTTTGCCGCCGTTCTACATCCTCGTGTACGTCGACGACTTGGTCTTTGCCACAGCTGACACTGCTGGACTAGCCCACGTGAAGTCCGAGCTGCAGAAGAGACACACGTGCACTGACCTGGGTGAACTGCGCAGCTACCTTGGCTTGCAGATCACTCGGGACAGAGCACGCCGCACCATTACCCTGACTCAGTCACACATGGTGCAGCAGGTCCTTCAGCACTTCGGCTTCACGTACTCCTCGCCTCAGGCCACTCCTCTGCCTACTCGCCACTCGCTCTCAGCTCTGCCTTCGGATGAGTCCGTAGAGTCGAGTGGCCCGTACCCAGAGCTTGTTGGCTGCCTCATGTACCTGATGACCTGCACACGACCTGACCTTGCATACCCTCTTAGCATTCTTGCACGCTATGTTGCTCTTGGGAGACACAGACCGGAGCACATGGCTGCAGCGAAGAGGGTGTTGCGCTACTTGTGCAGTACGTCGGGCATGGGGCTTGTGCTTGGAGGGCAGAGTCCGGTGGTCCTTACTGGGCACGCAGACGCTTCTTGGGCTGACGACCAGGCTACGCAGCGGTCGTCACAGGGTTACACCTTCAGCCTTGGTTCCGGCTCTGTTTCGTGGCGGGCTACTCGCTCGTCTTCTGTTCTCGGCTCCAGTTGTGAGGCTGAGATCTACGCCGGGGCCATGGCTGCACAGGAGCTTCGCTGGCTCACCTACCTGCTGACTGACCTCGGAGAGCCGCCTCGTTCTCCTCCAGTACTGTACGTAGACAACAAGGCCATGCTGGCCTTGTGTCGAGAGCAGAGACTGGAGCACAGAACGAAGCACATTGCTCTCCGCTACTTCCTTGCTCGTGAGCTACAGCAGCGTGGTCAGCTGCGGCTTGCGTACGTGGCCTCTGAGGCCAACACTGCTGATATCTTCACCAAGGCACTCGCGCCTTGTGATCATCAGCGCTTCTGTACTCAGCTGGGTCTTGTGCCTACCTTGCCTCACTTGCTCACCCCTTGACCTTGTTTGTACTGTTGCATATATAT